CAATGAGATCTTAAAGGTGAGAAAAGGTAGACAGGGCAGCAAGATGTGGCTGGCTCTTGGAACTACGCCTGCAATACAAAGCAGTCACAACTCCTGTGAATAAAAGCTAAACCCACCTACCCAATAAAGTGTACGAGCTGATAGGCACTAAGAGAAGACTCTGGGTTTAGAGACTCCTTCTAAGCAGTGCTTTAAAAGCTTCCACCAATTTATCCAGCACTTCTCCTTTAGCAGCAGAAAATAAAGTGGGTCAAAGGCAGCTTTTCAGCAGGAAAATCACTCTAAAATTACAACACTTGGGGAAACCTAGGCAATGATGAGAGAGAACAAGGAGCATTGCTGCACTGATCCACCCCTGCTTTTTCCCCCTACACAAGAGGTACAGACCACAAAGAATTTATACACCAACTTTGCCTAAGCCTTTGTAGGACCATTACCCTCTATTTCTGCACAACTCCTCAACAGTCACCAGGCACTGCAAAAAAAATTGTAGTAAAACCTCCTCAACCCCAGATTTACCATTTAGCTTAGCTTAGTAAATATGAGGAAGGAAGAGTCACCGCTGTTGAGGTGAGAAGAAATGTATTCTGGAAACTCAGTCTGCCTCTTGGTATCCAAAAAGATTAAGGAGACCTTTATAACAAAATAAATCCCCTTCTCTGACCACGATGGGTGCACTCTGCCATGTCTCTATGGAAAGATTTCACAGCACTAAACATCCATAAGCTTTCATTTCTTTATTTCTTTTTCAGTGGAAATAAGTCAGAGCCCAAACACGATGCCATTTGATTTCCTGTGTTTGGAGCACTTGAATCTCACCCGGGCCATTTTGGAGACTTGATGTTGTGCTCTGCAATCAAAATTTTATTTTGAGACTTACTGTATTTTCTAAAGGAGACCTTAAGGTACAACAATTGATCCATTTGCAGTACTGGACTATTATTCTGTGCTGTAAATTCCTCCCTACAAACACTAAGCCTGTTTTCCTGAGGGGATGTGGACACTGGATGTGATGGTATGCAAAAGCTCATTTGTATCACATCATGTAATACTGCCCAAGGCTATGCCATCCACAAAGGAGAGAAGAGCAACAAATATAGCATCACCACTACAAGAATATGAAATCCTGTTTAAAATTCCTGCTGATACTTTGCAATTGTACCTCCCACCCCCGCAGACCCCTAAAAGTTGACAGGACAGTCAAAGGCACTGTGCAGCTAATCACAAGATTGATGGCTGCACCCTTTGGCTGTCCAGCATGCTCGCTTGATAACATGTGCTAAAATACAACACAGACACCTTCAGCTGTCCTGAACCCAGCTCATTATTCAGCCTTAAATCTAGTTCTGGAGTTCTCATCCGCCTCTCTAATGACTTAGGGGGTTTCTTAACTTTCTCCCCGAGTGCAGCAGCTTCCTGCAGGAAACCATTCACCATTCCTTACTATCTCCAAATTTTACTACTTCCTATGTCGTGCTTTTTCTCGTCCCCAAAAAGCATCGCTTTATCACCCAGTTTCTCCTTGAAAGTTCCTGTGCTCCCAGAACTCTATGGTTTCCCTCTCTCCCCCTTTCTTCTAGCCAAGTCTCAAGCTACTAAAAGGATAACTGCAGGTGTTATGCACAGAGACAACAATTCCTGTACGTGCAGGCAATTCAAGTGTGATCTTTGTTTGCAACCCCCCCAGCTCTGAGAGTAAAAGAGGCCAAGGGAATCAGCAGGTTACTGTTTTCCTCTGCACTTGAAAATGTGAATTTTTCCTGCTATGAGATTTTGTGAGTGCCAAATGCTTTGCCAAAGATTTTCATATGATCTGGCTGGAGAGCAAGAAGCGTCAGACGTCTCATTGCAAACTAGGTTTCCAGCCCAGTTTTGTCCTCAGAAGTGATCCAAATGACTTCTAGAGGAATCTGACTCTGTAGTGATCTGCTGCTGCACTCCCTGTCAGTACCTACAAGAGACCTGCAGTCTAAAATACCCTGAAATGAATCTTAGTCTCATACCTGCCTGGTCTGTCCTGTCATCCCTTACTTGTACTGCTTTTCAGTCTCTGCTATGCAACATGCTGTTCCCTTTTCCTCCTGTACTTGCATAAGAGAAATACAGATATAAAGGAAAGCAATTATTCTGCAAGTAAAACTAGAACCACCCAGGCTAAATCAGGCAGTTTTCTGGCATCATCTTAAAAAAGCAGGGCTCAAAGTACAACAGAGAAAAAACCCAGCCTCCTCATTATGAAAGAGTGATCAGCTGAATAAGAAATACAAGAAAAAAAATGGAGAGAAGAGCCAAGTGAAAAAGGTTCAGGTTAAACAGTCCTTGACAGGACCATGAAAGAGCATAAACCAGCCACAATGGTCCTGCAAGCAAAAGAGGGGTCACAGGCACCCCCCCCGACCTAAAAGCCCCAAAGGCTTTGCAGGCATGTGGCTCAAATTACTTACCAAGTACGACAGAGCAAGTGAAGGGGGGGACAGGGACAGGGAATATGCAAGAATAGAAATGAAGAGGCAAGCAAGCGACCTCAGCCAACAGAGGAGAGGAGAACATGACAGCCCAAATGGCAGTTGTTTTCTCAGCACAGGACACCCAGCGAGTGGGCTGCCTCGTGGCAGCACACCGACAAGTGCTGCGTGGAGAAGGCAGCTCTCTTTCGTAAACCCGAGTGGCAAATTTTCCCCTTCAGCCTCCCTTGCAGAGCTGCGGACAAACTGTGCCAGAACTCTGCTTGCGTATTCTTTGAAATGCCTGGTACTTATTTTTAAATATTAATTATCATTCATGGCAGCAAAACCATGCGGTTTTCCCCTTTGGGAGCGTATCAGTCAATCCCAGGGCAGGTGTCTGGTCCCAGCCCACGCTGAACAAGTGTCTCTTGGAGGAAATAACTCAGCCGGCCTCTTGCAGAGCTGATGGAAGGATTGATTCTGTTGGAGTAAAGACAAGCCACAGGGTTGTGACCTTAGACAGAACGGGCAAGAAACTGGCCTGCTAAGGCCTTCGTGATCCTAAGCACCAAGGTTTGTTCCAGGATGTTGTTCAGACATTTGTGTACAACAGTCTGAGATTCATTGATTCCTCTCCTTTGTTTTTTTTTTTTTTTTTTCAGTTTCTAAAATCATCCTCTCAGCCTTTGAAAAGTGTAAGGGGAGATGGAAATTTCAACCAAGCTGAATGATCCATGGTTTTGGGCCTTAGAGCAAATAGGCTTGTTTGTTTAGTTGTTTGGTGTGTTTTTTTAGAAAGCAGGATCGGGCAAAACAAGACTGTTATTAAACCTACCATGAACAGTACATTTATGACATCACAGCAAAAAGGATATTAAATCTTTTCCCCAGAATCACAAAGAAAACAGCACTGGCTAATGCACTGAAAAGTTAAACTGGCCCAGAATATTTCAGTCTCAAAATCAAGCAAAAGTAATGAGACAGATTTTTCTAATTCAGCCCTTCCAGTGAGCAACACAGATGAGATGTGCTAGTGACACAGGTGAGAGTATTTTCTGCAGTAAGCTTATCATCTTGATCACACCTGATACAAATGCATTTTCCAAACTTGTTATCTCCACTGGCTGCAGGGTCAGACTCAGAGTGTCCTATTCAACAAAATAACAAACACTATTTCTTCTTCTGGGCCAGAATAACAGCATCAACATTTTCAAGCAGGCAGCCCTGGCTCCAATTCCAGTCACTGATCTCTCGCTCTTAGCACTGGCCAGACTTCAGAGAAACACAAGAACTGCATCGTGAGCACCACAGGGGGAACAAAAATTGTGCACTGGGGAGGCAGAAGCGAGTAAAGGTCTGGGTTCCCTCGTTGGCAGTCATTGTACAGCACTAGGAAACATCAGGTCATACATTTTAACCCAATTTTCCCAATCCTTATGGCTGTGTCCCAGATGAAGTGATGTAATCAAACAGGGATGCTGACGATGCAGGGTTGCCCAAAAGAGGGAAGGCTCAGGGGGAGGGCAAGGCAGGAAGGGAACCAAAGCAAACATGGCATCTCCTTGGGATGCAGCGTGGTCTTCAACGTGCGCTTCAGAGAGAGCAGTCTTTCCCTTGATGCTACGGAGCTTGTCAAATTGCCTGGAAGGCTCAGAGGAAAGAGTCATCTTTCAAACAATTTCACAAGGCAAAAGAAAAACTTCATTTTTTGAACTATATCCCATAAGCTTCTAAAGGAATTAAATCTCTGGTCCTGCCTATCAAACCCTGTGTAGAAAGGAGAGGAGAAGGAAGCGCACAAAGTCAAAGCCAATGTCTTGACTCCCCGAGGAAGGCTTGAGAGTGTCCAAATAACATTGGTAGGAGCTGGCAATAGCAAAAAGGGCATCTTCTTGTCCCTTTGCTTTTTTAACAAATACCGAGCCAAAAAATTTAAGTGCTCAAATCCCTCTTATTTGTGAAAGGCTGAATCACCACTGGTGGTGGTGGCTGGGTAGAGCAAAATCTGCTTCAGCAGAAAAACAGAGACAAGCAAAACAGTTCCTTGTCTCCTTAAAAAAATAACCAGAGCTGGTCATGGACTAATTAGTGAAGTAATTTTACATCCAAAACTGCTGAAGAGCCAAAACGCGGCACTGCTTTTGGAAAGGGGAGGGCTGACACCTTCGTGTGCTCCATGCAGACCAGAGAGCTTTTCCAAATGCAGGTCACCTGTAGCTGGCGTGAACTTTTAGGCCCCTCCAAACCATCTACTCATAGCCCGCCGAATACTTAACCGGTTTTCCAAAGGAGGGAGGCTATGACAGACACACAGCAAAGGCCACTCCATATCCCAACAGCATAAAAAGCAGAGCCGATACCTATTTCAGCCTCCCTCTACCCCACTCATTTCTTTTGAAACCTTCTTTGCTCCCCATTTTTTGGACAGGAAACAGAACGCGCTGGAAATAAGCATTGATGATAACAAACACAGTAACCAGTTCAGTTCATTGACTGTTCTGAGCAGCGTCAGCAGTGATTCATTGCAGCGGTAAAAAGAAAAAAGGCACTCACCCTCACGAAGCTGGCGGGAAACCATCCTTCTTCATCATCGATCTGACCCCACCACCAGTCCTTGTTGGAAGCATCCAGGACCTTGATAACGTCTCCTGCTTTAAACGCCAACTCCCGGTTGGCCATGGTGACGTGATCCCATACTGCCTCAGCACTTACAATAGAACCACCACTGATCAGCTTTGAAAACAGAAAACCAGCAGTCAATAAAAGCTCGGTTCCCCGACGCAAGCACATGCACAGCAGCAGCACAGGAGAGAAAAAAAAAAAAAAAAAAAAAGCACTCAGCCAAAGTAAAAGAATCTTCCCCCATTCCAACCCGTACCAGTTGCACCCTCACGTGATGGAATCCGCTCTGCGACCATTTCTACCGGCCGCCGTGCTGCTCCTAACGCCGCCACGCAAGCGAGCACCGCGTGCGGGCCCTGGCCCTGCGCGCGGGAAAAGCAACACCCCCCCTCTCACCGCCACGTCGCATTTATGGGCATGCACGTCTCTCAAGGTACCTGGCTTTCAGGTACAATTCGTTAGCAAAATGTATAGGTGGGAGTTCCCCAAAATGGCAAAACCAAGCGATGGTGTCCTGCAAAGGAATTTTTGTTTCAGAGCATGTTTGCTCAGTTAAAGGATCAAATGTCAGCTGGAGGCTCAGAAGGCTCTCCATGCAAATCCAAGCAACGTTTGCAAACATATTTAGAACACTACTTTTTTTTTTTTTTTTAAAAAAACTGGAAGTTCTGTATTTGTTTTGTGCTGGTGATGTACTGACATCCCTTGCTTTTGAAACCTTCAAGCTACACAGCAGACAAGAGGGGCACTGTGGCACCCAGCTGACCTGCTTCAGACCTGACCTGGGGCAGGGCCCAGCTCCACGGCACATCCAAACCCCGCTCTGCCCACGGGGAACCTGCCGGCACTGCCTGTCGTGACAGTCCTCGAGGTGCAGATACCTGCCCCCCTAGAAACCGGACCGAGGCCAGACTTGGGTCTGACAGGACCGACGGGGCGTCTCTCTCTCAGGCATATGGTCGCCCTAGAGCCGGACCGGCACCATGGCAAGAACCTAACCGGTTCTCCTTTTCGTTGTGAGCCACCTAAGTTTTATAAATATAAAACTCCTCGTTAATGCCTGCAGGAAGGACTCATCCACACACCGATGCCTGTGCACCCACAAGACAAATTCATCCATGCCTGGGACACTCGCTGCTCCTCAGAATGGTAGTAATATATTTTTGAACAGAATAATACATTGTGTTTATGTTTCGTCCACTGCAGGAATTTTGCACTGAACAGTTAAGACTGCTCTAGCAAATATAGACTTTACCCATATGCTTATTAGCTTGTCAGAGCCATCCTGAACCTTGTTGATTAATTCTGCTGTCTGAGACGCATTGAATATGTACTTGGGCTCGCCTCCAAATCAGAATTTCAGCTCACAAAGAGCTCAGTGCTGCAACCATTACAGACCTTCCACATGGCAAGACTTTAACAGCCACAGATATCTTTCCAATTTAGGCAAGCAATACAGAGCATAAAGACAATAACCCGTCGCAGCAGTTATGCAAGTGTAGAAGCACTGGGAATGGTTAGAGAGCTCTTAATGGCTTTTTTGTAAGTTTGCCTTACCAAAATGCCTGCTAATAACTACCTGCATAGCAAGAACTTGCAGGAGACCTTCTAACACTGCTGCAGGGTTCCCAGCATAAACATATAAGAGCATTCAAGTCCCTGCGGGCAATTCAGTCAACAGATTAAAGGACCTGATTTACCCTTTTCCTTGAACTGACTTTCCTTTAAGAAATCAAGCTCCTCGGGTTTGTGACAATTGCAGTTGCAGTTTCAGCTCTTCAATTATTAGAGTCAGTAGTACATAAAGCAGCAAGATCTGAGGGAGCCTAACTTGAGATTTAGTGCCTTTCATCCTCAAAGCCAAGATGTATCTAGTCAGAGGGCCTCTCGTTCCTGCAGCAGATAAAGTAAAACAATGTTCTTCCTACTTCCATTTTGATAAATTGTCCTTTCTAATTCAAAATCAGCTGTAAAAGAAACATGGCTTCTCCATATATCGGACTTCTACACATGAGCCTTGCAAGATCACCTGGCAGCAGAGAGGAAACAAGGGCCTGGGTTAATCGCAAGCTCTCACTGAAGAGTCAAGCAATGGACCTAATGTGCTGAACTTATCGCACGGGGCATCTCCTGTATTCGTGTGGGTTTATCGCACGTTTAGGCTTTTGATAGAGCTTCAAGGAGCTGGGCACAAGAGGGTCCCATCCAAACCAGCGGCAGCCAAACGCAGATGGTGTAAGACCTGCAGTTCACCCCAGCCCTGGGCCCTCCCTTAGCGAAGTAGGGTGGCTACATCTGGAAAAATAAGTTACAAAGATTGATTTGTGATTCCAGCGCCAACAACTGAACGCTTTCTGTTTCAGTGCTTCCTCACAACACCTCGCATCGCTCTAAATCAAGGTTGCTATATGCTTTCATAAATAAGAATGGGTTTAAACTATAAAGAAGAGGGAGGGAGGAAGGAGGGAGGGAGGGAGGGAGGGAGGGAGGGAGGGAGGGAGGGAGGGAGGGAGGGAGGGAGGGAGGGAGGGAGGCAGGCAGGCAGGAAGGCAGGCAGGAAGGAAGGCAGGAAGGAAGGCAGGAAGGCAGGAAGGCAGGAAGGCAGGAAGGAAGGCAGGAAGGAAGGCAGGAAGGCAGGCAGGAAGGCAGGCAGGAAGGCAGGCAGGAAGGCAGGCAGGAAGGCAGGAAGGCAGGAAGGCAGGAAGGCAGGAAGGCAGGAAGGCAGGAAGGAAGGAAGGAAGGAAGGAAGGAAGGAAGGAAGGAAGGAAGGAAGGAAGGAAGGAAGGAAGGAAGGAAGGAAGGAAGGAAGGAAGGAAGGAAGGAAGGAAGGAAGGAAGGAAGGAAGGAAGGAAGGAAGGAAGGAAGGAAGGAAGGAAGGAAGGAAAGAAGGAAAGAAGGAAAGAAGGAAAGAAGGAAAGAAGGAAAGAAGGAAAGAAGGAAAGAAGGAAAGAAGGAAAGAAGGAAGACTTCACAGCTGAAGAAAAACCCCTCGATACATTCAAGACCAGTGAACAGTTATCTGTTCTTCTGCCAGGACTGAGCTCTTCTCCTTCACTAGTGTTTCCCTGTTGCCACATTCACAGACACTAGCCAGCCTGTGGTTTCCCAGGTTAAGCAAGCTCTTTCAGCCTTGTCCCAGCAGACAGCTCTATCTTTGCCTGAGCATTTCACCAGCCCTTTTTGGCATCTAGATATTTTCCCTGCATCTTTCCTGAACACAGATGACCAGAACTGTAAATACTATTCCCAAAGAGACCTTACCAGAGATCTGTGAAACAGCATGAAATATTTATCACAGTGTCACAGAAATCTTGCAGTAAAACATAACATCTCACCCTTTTTCCCATGGCTACCTCCCGCCGGTGGCTCACTGTGATCCTGCATTTAGCTTATCTAAATAAATGAGGTAAAGTACATTCTCTTTGTCTAGAAAATCAGTTTTCTTGTAAAAAAAAAAAAAAAAAATCAGGTTGGCCTGACACTCGTTCCTTTTATTAATGCCATTGGGTATTTTCGTCGATTTTTCACTGATGATGAACCAGGCACTGAGCTATTACACAGAAGCTGTGTTTCTGCTTTTTCTGCTTCAAGTGGTATAGACATTGCTGTCACTTCACACACAGGAATTTCCGGGCACGAACTGCCTCAGAAACATCACTGATACCAAACTTCAGAGGGACTGTGTTGTAGAGGTTCCTAGGCTACTTTGCAAAAGTGCATTTCCGAGCCCGAGGCACAAAATCCCAGCTCTGAGGAGCACGGTTTGGCCAGCGGCAAGGGCTGGCAGGGACTTGCAGAGGGCCAGAAGAGCAGATCTCTGTTAACGCAGACAGCTGGAAGATGCTTTCAGTGGATGTCAGGAGCTGAGGTGGCTTTGCAAGGTGCTTCTTGATACTCAAGAAGAAAAGCTCTAAGTTCTTGGTTTTTACTGTCTAGTGCCAGTGGATAGAACAAAGGCCACTTTAACTGGTCCCTTCTAGCCCCTGGTCCATATCGTTAGCCCAAGACAAGGATCTCCATGCTGGGAAGCCTGCAAGCAAGCCTTGGCCTTCCAAAATACAAATACAATTCAGCCTGTGAAAAAAGGACAGCAGCAGGATGGCAGAATTTGAGATCCATCCATCGTGTGTGCTGCGTCCATTGAGAAAACGTCAGAGCCTAAAACTAAAAGATCCAGCTTAATTTATTTTGCGAGACATCTTGCTGCATCTGTGGAGCCGTCTAACTTTCAGGACAGGGTTACAGAGACACAGCCTGACATCTGCAGCAGCAAGAGATGATGAACTAGAGGAAGGTCAGGATAAAATATTATTTTCCAAGAGAACCCAACATAGGAGCTCTTCACTCCAGAAAGTTCACATCTCCTGGTGTCAAATATGGGTCTTGGCACTGTGGTCAGACATAGTCAGCCAAAGACCCTGAACGGGACTTAACTCCCAAAATTTTAGATGTCTAACTCACAGCATCTGAGCCAGTCATTTGGACTCCTCTATAATCAGCAAAGAGAAAGAGACACATCTGGACTGTGATTCATCTCGGCTATTTCAGTTGTCTACCTTCAAGTGAGGTGAATCATGCCCTGGAAATTACTATTTCTCTGTGTTTAATTGGGTGATGTAGAAGTTTACATTTCCAACATCTTACATTCATCCCATCTACAATTTGCCCATCACTAAAAAGGGGTAACAAAGAACTGTATTTAACAATAATAATCATAATAGGAATAGTCAAATATTAAATCACACTCTCCCAGACACAGCAGTTTCTCAGGATGTGAAGGTTGTTGTAAATAAAATTATGTTCTCTGTGCCCACTGGAAGAATTCACAAAATCTCAGCCTTGTAAATTGACAATAATGAGGACTTAGATATTTGGGGAAAGTGTCCTAACTCATAAGAGGGCGGCAGCTAGAAGAAATGCAATAGGTGATAATATACAGTTGGTTTTGAATACTGCTTCTCTTCCGGGTGAAAGTCCTAGTTCTCATTAAAATCAATTGTTCTTGTCTGTTGTTTGTTCTAATTAAAGAGCCCAAAGACAAAAGTTCCTCGATGCTTTCACCACATAACGTCAGTGCAGGAGAAACACCCAAGAGCATTTCTTAACGACAG